TTTTTGCATGTTAGCAAAAACTGCAAATCACAGATAAAAGGGTATCAAAAAATGTAATAGCCAAATATTCAAAGTGATCATTTAAAATATACTCTTTTGTATACAAAGAAGAAGCCTTCCAGTGCACTGAACTGATAGGAATCACTTCTAGTTAAATTTTAAATATATGCATTACAGTGAAACACTGTTGGACAGTGCTCCATCATCAATCAGTCTGTGAGGACACTATTTTTCAAGACATTTTCTTTAAGAATAAAGCCCTGTGTTGTAATGAATGTGGACTAACTGATCCCCAAAGCCACTTATATTTTTTTCATTTGTATCAGTGTCAGAGTTGAGCTTCTGTCGGAAATTTTTTGCAGTATTTTATTTTGTAGCCTTCATTATTTCAAGTTAAGCACACAAAACTCTTTATGCGCCCAGAGTCTGCACTGGTTCATTTGTATCCAGTATTTTGTTAACATGTTACCGTGATTGCTAATTTTCATGACAATTGTTATTGTACCATCAGTGCTTAATGGCAAGGCATCATTATTCAATGCTGGTCAATCAGGCACTAAGACATGTGCAAGACATCAGGCTGAACCCATATAGATGTCGTGCACTCCACTGCTAATGAATGCAGTTTTGTAAAAAGGTTTAAACACGGTTGGCATCCTTAATGTAAGGTTTGCAATAGCTTATTTGGGAACTGCTTTGTGTCTATACGGAGCAGATCTAAACATGTCACAAACAGAGTTAGAGCCATTGTGTGTGTGTAAAGCTACAGAGAGGAGAGGATCTTTATGTTTTTTGGAAATGTGGAAAAGCAGCACAACTTCTGCTGTGGCAGCAGTGTGGAGCTGATATGCCAGAGACATCACCATTTGGAAATGGAGGTGGGACTTGTTCTGCAAAGCGGTGGTGCACTAGAGTGGTGACCCCCTCGACTCCTAGGATGGAAAGCGGACCTTGGTGTTCACCAGCTTGCAGAATAAAGTTGCGCTGGTTCCAGAGGGAGCCTCCAGCACACCGCCTAGGCGGGGGTTAGGGACTGTGAGCAGAAGCTGGGAAAAGGGTTAAGCATTTAGAAAGGAGGAGCAGAAGGAAACTCAACAGGAGTAGGATGCACTTTATGTGCTCATAGCCTGGCAAGCGTGTCCAGCATGCTCTTCCCCACAGGTCATTTTATGTTACCCTTACATCTGCTTTAGTTAGTTACTGTTTCTCTGTGGTTTTGCACCCAAATGTTTTGGGCTGCTATCCATGATAAACTAGATGGAACCTAGTTTAAAAGCACAGATTTTTAGTCTCTTCTAACTAAAAGTAGAAGGAGCCCTTGTACTCTTAGAGTTTCAAGTATGAATGGAACAGTAGACGTCGGCTGTTAACGAGCTCCAACATGCTGAGCTCTAGCAGCGCTTGGTGTGAATTCAGTGCAAAAGCTGCATCGACTAAATGGTTAATTCATCTCATATCAACAGCACTGTGATTCATAATGTAAACTTGAGGAATCCTTGATGTTTCAGTCACACATTCCTCTTAATTTGGCCATGCATTCTTTTAAAGCTACAGTGTGCTAACTTAATAAAATGCAGCATGCAAATGCACAAGTTTTTGCCTTCAGGCATTTTAGCCATGGATGTTTCAATGGGTGTCTTATTTCAAGTATATATTCTTTCTTAAATTATTTACCCTGTAAACATGCTTTGCATTTTCAAAGGAGAATCTGGGCTTCCTCATTCACCAGATTTTGTTGAATGTAAGGTGTAATAGAGATAAAAGAGTATCGTCTGCTTCTTGTGAACATGTTAGCCTTTGGGATTTTTTTTGTAGTGAATGTTAGGCCCCATTTTCTTCTCCTTTGGTATTATCAGTCCCTCCCCCACTTTACATTCCTTGATGCTTTGCCTAGAGCAATACCCACTGGCAGTGTCTGGCTGTGACAGCACTATAGGCGTCTCCACAGATGGGTTCTGCCAATGCCAACCATTGTTCTACCACTGTGAGCTGGCTTGACTGTGTTGTATCGCTCAAAACCCCCTTTCGTCTTAATTTTTTTCTCTACTCTGAAGGGTTGCCCTTGCCTATTGACTTTGAGATCTGAAGCGTCTAACACCCAGAACTTGTATTCGCTAGCTGAGCAGCCCCTACTAGAATCAGACTTCAACAGGCACCGTTCAGTAAGCCCTCCACAAGATAGTCCTGCTGCTACCAAGCAGCTCTGTCCTTTTCCTCCTAGCCCCATCCTCCTGGCATTTTTCAGTTAGTTTAATTTTTCTTGCGTACTTGAAAGTAAAGAACTCCATGTTATTCTTTTTTTAAAGATATAAAATTAATCTTTAACTGTAGGCTTGAATATTAAAAGTATATAATGCTTCAGTGTAGGAGTCTGTTGATAACATCCGTCCTATTTCATGATTAATTTGTTCCTTTTAATATGATATTCTTTTGCTGCACTGTGCAGACTAATTCAGATTCCTAGAAATTGAACTTTGATATATATTTCCTAGATTCACACTGCAAGTGAACCTTCAATTAGCAGATACAGGTGGCAGCATGCCTCGCTCAATGTTCTCTTGACAAGGATTTTAGAGATGTGGATACTGATTAAATAATCTTGCGACTGGATGTGTACTGCCAGAGTATTAAAAATAAAGCATTTGGAGGATTGACTTTATTTTTAAATTTTCCTACGATTTTAAAGCTCAACTGAAGAAATGCCTTTTCACTGGGCCGGAGATAGGCCCAGTTTAAATCAACTGATTTAAACACTCTGTATGTTATGTATGCCTTTGCCTAACTATGTGTTAGATTAAGGGAGTTTCACTCGCAGTTAATCCTTTGTAAATTAGCATTATGGATGCCTTGGGGCCCACATCCCACAAATAAAATGGTTGTCAAGCCAGCTGCACTGTGTATTACTTAAGGCTGAATGTTTTAAGAGTTTTCATGCTTTTAATCTATTTCACTGCTGAGTTTCAATTTTGTTGAGTGTCTTTTCAGGAGTGATGAGGGTGAGTGAGTAAATATATATTCTGGTTTTCATGCGTTTGCTTGGGCAAATTGTTATCAGGTGTTTGGCAGAGAATGTCACACCCCACCACAAAGGAGAAGCTTGTAAGTTCAGGTGTTAAATTGAAGTGCAAACCAACACGAACCAAAAGCCTTTAATTAGCTTTATTTTTTAGCCTGTTACTGTGTTGTTTTTTTTTTTTAAGAGAGAGGAACATCCCTCCCTCCTCCTCATCCTTTTGGCAGAGTAAATATTGCCTGTTAAGTTTGAATTAGCTGTCATCGCAAAAGAATTAATGCTGTGGTTGAGCCTTTCTAGTGAGGAAGAGAAAAATAAACGAGACAGATCTTAGTTCAGCTTTAAGTGATAAATGAGGACAAAGCAGCCCATTCATCTCCTGCTAGGAAAGTGGACACAAACACTAAAGCAGTTTTGCGGAAGACGTGTCAGCAAATGTGATCATTTTGTAACCTGTCAGGAGGATAGAGAGCTAGTCCTTTTAGAGTGTCACAGGGGAGGGTGTCTGTCTGATGTGACAGTTTTCATCCATCCGTTTACTTCTTTTTCTTTAGGTGGGGGGTAAGCAAGGAGAGAGCTGGAGTTGGTTAAAACTGCATTTTTCTTTACACTTTCCAATATAATTTATATATATATCTCCACCCGCATCCAAATGAAAAACATTTCCCAAGGAAAACTCCCCTCTGCTCTCTGGAGTTTTTTTTTTTTTTTTCTCCTTCTCATTTGCTGTATGAAATACGCTCATTTTAACACATTACATTCCCTGTCTTCAAGTTTGTACTTGGTTTGACATTTCACAAAACACAGTTTTACCTCTTTTTACCATTATTTGGTTGGTGAGGGCTCTGGGTTTTTCTGTTTTTTTCAGAAACATCAAAAAAAATGAAATAAGAATAAAAATAACTTAGGGTTCTTTTGTTGGGGTTTTGTTTTGGGGGCTTGGGAGGGCTGCTTTTGTTTTTGTTTTTTTGCTATATCTCTGCAATTCTGCTGTTGTGCCTCATGGATAAATATGTTTTGCAAAAGTTCCTGCATCATGAAGAGCCGATGTGAATGTTCTTTCCCTTCTGTGAGAATGGAAATGGTGAATTCTTACGGTCCAGAATCCGTCTGTAAAATGCAGCAAATTGTAATGTTTGTTGATTTATCCATTTTAACTGATCTGTTAATTTCAAGCAAAATCTGAAGCAATGTGGTATCCAATTTTGGAAGCAGTGATTTCTCTCAACAAATGGTTGAACAATATTTAGCGTTTCTACTTCTGGCATCTGTTTATTATTACTGATTTCCATTTTTTTATACCGCATAGTAAATGTAATGTTTCCCTATTACCATAAGCGAACGTATGCTACAGAGACAGGAGAGGCTTTTACAACGTAAGCTTCACAGTTTGACACTTGCTTCTTTATATCATCCTTTTCTTCATAACTTATCTCTTATACTTTTCCCTTGGTATTTTAGTACAAGTAAGTATCTCATTGACATGTGTTTCCTTGGAATCTGGTACCTTAATAGTAAAATCCCTTGAAAATTAATAAATTGTTTCTATTCAGATTAAAAAAACTGTGAAGATTTCAGAATGGCTTAAAAAAATATGATGGTTTACTGTTTGAGACCACCATGCATTCCTTGGATTGCATCAACCGAGGACTAATTGTCTAATTTGTCTTAGAAAGTAAATAATTAATTGTAATGTGATGGATTTCAATTATTCTAATATATAAGGGTGCATGTGTGTAATTGAGAAAAGTCTAATTCTTTCCTAAAAGCAAAAGTCGGATCTAATAATAAACATATATAAATATTTGGAAGCACTGGAAATTGAGAGAAGTAAAAAACAGCCAAGATATGCAGAATAGTGTAGGAAGCCCTAAGCTTGTGGGCATATCTCCTTCCTCCAAGATATTTATGGGAGTGCCTCTTTTTATTGTTTTATAAACATTCTGCTGTTTTCACTGCTTTTTTTTTCTCTTCTGCTTTTTTTCAGGATCATCCAAAACCGGATTTTGATCGTTGTCCTGGCAGTCATCATCATCTTCACTATCCTGATGGCTATTTATTTTTCTGTCAGGGGACACTGATATCTTTGTTCTTCACTAAACAGCAACAAACTGCTTGTTCTGAGTAATTAAGACAAAGTGGTCACATGCATCATTCTCTTGCACTGATAGAGTCTCCTTCTCTTTTCCACTATTCAACTCAGGTGCAAGTGGTGTAAATTATTTTGTATTATTGATGGCATAGTTGGCATGTGGAGTTGATTATTTTTCTTACACTTTTGTCTTTATCTCAGTGTTTTTGGAATCTTAGTATCTGCTTGGGGGTGGGCTTGTTCCAGTATAAAAAGACGCAACTTAGCAGACATGTGTGCCGAGCTCTCCCCCAGACGATTAGCATGTAAGTTGCAAGAGTTTAGAGGGGGAAGAGGGGTCTTTGCACTTTTCTTGTGCTATGCAGGGTGTATGAATATCAAGCAGTATCTGACCTTCTGTGATAGAGAATGTAAGTAAAGCCGAGACCAAATGATGTAGAAAGTGAACCTGTCTCTTGTGACTAACTCCCGATCATGAATCATCGTAATAGATGTAACCTGGCTAAGAACGGTAGTTGGTTTTAAAGAGAGCAATCTTAAGATGATGTTTCCTATCTGATGTGAGTCCAGCACACTATTTAACACTTTTTATTTCATTACATTTTCTTTTCTGCTTACTCAAAACAATTCCACTTTCACCAAGATCATGATAATGATACTTGCATCACTTGCCCAAAATGTAACTGTGACCACAGTCCATCTGTTGAATCTGTTTCAAATCTTCCAGTGTTGATCTTCCAGTGTACTGAGATGTAATGTAAACAGTAGGCCTTTATTAAAGAGGTATAAAGATACTTACCTATTCACTGCTGATTGAAAAGAGATCCGAAGTCATAGTTCAGTGACAAATACGTATGATTACAGTGGAAAAATTTAGATTTTGAATATTGGCCTGACTGTGTTGAGATCACATGTTGAAAATATTTTTAATGAATTATATTCAGATGTGACATTAACCTTTTTAAAGAGAGACTGT